ATTAAAAAACGTACATTAAAAAGACGAGATCGTGCGGTTATTTTTGAGGCGACTTTTTTTCCGGACTCCGGCACTCCGGTTGGGCGATGCTCAACATCGGTATTTTGCACATGTTCAATGTTATTTTAAAAGGCAATGAATTATGCTGGCTGCCAATTATTTTCTTATATGTAGGTCACCAGCCAATTACGATCGTTCTACAGCAATGTGGTTGTTTTTGAAACGGTAGCGCGTTTACTGATCCGAGTACCTATTGATTAGTTGTTTATCTTCGTATATAATTTGGTGTAATACATTGTCTTATAAATAATACATGAAATATGGTATTAATGATGGCAGCTCCATTTGTTATTATGATACATACTTAATTCAATCATACATATTAAGTGCTCTGTTTTAACATGACATTTAGTTTTCTGCTCTTTTCTTTGTTGGGTATCCAGATATTGAGTTATTAATATTACTAAATTTAGTTATACGAAGACATTTAGTTTACGCTTAGAAAATAGCGCATTATTGGAAAGGAGGAGACTTATTAGACCATCTAGAGTATTGTATTATATAAATATATACCTATATATAATAAAGATCAACGAAACAGATTCTACTATCATTTTATAACAAGCGAATTATTCGAAACGGCTTCAATGAGAAGCATATTGTCTATGGATAAAAAACAAGACCCCCAACTGATATCAACAGACCCCAAAGCAATAATAACCGCAACATTATCATGATAATAAGCGACAAATTCATAAAAAAAATATTACCAACCCACCCCCATCCGACATAAGATTAATGTGTGTACTACATAAACCGGGAATGGAACCTCGTATTTCGGCGTTCTATTACATGGGGTGACACCCTTGTGCTTGACAGATATATTTCGACAGAAAAAAATTAATTGCCCTGCTAAAAAGTTGGAAGAATACATAACCTACATTGATATTATTACGCTTGTCTTTTACATATATAATAATTAGATATTAAATATTTACGGCCTCATTGCAAAAAGCCTCGACCAACATCTGAGTAGGCTAGCGTTAGATGTTTGGGTCAAGGGCCTGATGCAGAAAGCAGTACTTCTGGAAATCTGGACACGGCGCATATTGTCCGGAAATTCTTCTCTTTGGAGCCCTGACCACCTGTAGCTTGGATTTCTCCCGTTACTAGTGGGGTACTGCTTTTATATTTTTAAATATTTTTTTATAATCTAATATTTAAATGTATATAGATATAGATAAGTCAAGTATAAAATTGAGTAAAGGAAATAATAACATATCAAATATTTTTACTATATTTTTTAACCATGATAATTAATTGTTAATTACACGGTTGGTATATTTTAATATTACAATTACACTATTCTAATTGTAAAATGTTCTCAGAGTTATGATTTTAAGGTAAATTATAGTGAGGATCTAGTTCATTTGTGTTTTATAGATATATAATTATAAAAGACTCATAATGTGATGGTAATAGGATGGCATTTGGCCACCGACTCGCCTAGTGATGATATAGCCGTCGAAATGTATAGGTTTATACTACGTAGTGATTTAGTGATTACGCTTGCCTTTTATATATAATACCTCTAGATGTGCTTGTATAGCTGGGTTAAAACGGATTTTGGTATTTCCCTCGCTTCACCCATTTCAATCAATCGATTCGTGCATGCTCGTCTGTTGTGGTTGCGATTTGGCCTTATTGCACACATCACCAATTTGGCTAATGTAATTTCGCCTCGAGCACCCTCTCCCGGTATTTCCTTTCAATCTCGATGCACCTCTTTCGTATATATATGTACTATACGTCTACCTACGAATGATTTCATTAGTAAAATCATTAGATTCGATTTTATATTTAGCCATTGAGAGTTTGGCTATCTTGGCATTCTTTTTTTTCTGTCTGGTACTTTTAAAGTTTACTTTTTAACTTTTAATCAAATTATTCTTCGCACAAATAAAATATGTTTATATTCAGTTCAAAATCGTGACGACGACGTCGTTTTTTAATGAAAAGTTATTTAGTGCCTATTCCAGGTATGACATTAAAATCTTTGCTTTGATGTGAGCATAAGAATAGTCTCACTCCCTATACTACCTACCTACATGGAACGATAAATATTAACTGTCAGAAAATGGATATGCCACAAGAACATATCAGTCTATAATTAAATTTATTGATAAATTGAAATATTATATCATAAAAATAAATTAATATAACTTATAATGTAAACCAAAGTTCCCAGGTTGTTCACTGGTGAACAATAAACCAAAAAATTTGCTTTCTTCCACATGACAATGGTTGCTGTAACCAGGTTATTTAGATGCATGTTACACATTCCAGGTTAATATAGTACGAACACGCGAACTTGCCTGTTATTTTCCGACAATAGATGAGAAAAAAATTGTTCATAAGTCGCCACTCATTGACTTCTGTGGAGTTCTCCACTTTTTTTATTTCGTAACGTATTAAACAGTGTCTGTGTTAATTAATATAAAGCGTGTTGTATTTTCCAATAATGTTACAATTATTTCATTGATGATTAACGATTAGGCTGAGACTGTTATTTAGTAGTTGGATTGTTTCAATGTCATTGTTACTGAAGAAATACTATAATTGTATCGAATTTGTTAATAATGTCGCTCAAAACCTTATTCTTTTTTACTTAATTAAAATTATCTTAAATCTATTTTACCTTTTACCTTCAAACAAACTTTTAAGAAAGCAATATAATCATTAAGTAAGTATCACTTGAAATAGTCTCAGACAATAATAAATTGAATACATTATTAACATGAACAACTAAACTAAACTAAATAAAAATCAGAATATGCATAACAAAGAGTTACTTGTTAAAAAATCAAGTATAAATTATAATTGGCACTCCATAATTTATTCCACTCGTTTATGATAAAATAATTAGAAAAATAATCTAAGAATTCTAAATTTGAATGATCTTGTCTCCCTAAAAACGTGTATAGGGTCCCTAGACATTACTAGAATAGGTCCTGAGAGGATAGCTCGGTTCATTGAAACGGTGAGAGTATGATGAACTTACAGCACGCAAACTGCTTCAACGCACGTGAGAAACAGGTTCCAATTCTGACGCTATTTTAGACCATTTGCCGAGATTTCCGAACAAAATAAGAAATTGACATATTTTTGGCGACCCGCTGGACAATTATTTGTTTTCGTGCGATATGACGACATTTTACATTAATTTTTTTATGTTTTTATAATATGTTACTATAGTGTGACGTACGAAATTAACTACAATCGCAGGTTATCTACTCACGTGAATATACTCTACTAGTTTTCAGTTTAGTGAAATTTTTAAATATTTTTCTTTTTAATTTGTTTTGGCCTTTCTACCCTTCATGATGTCACACAAGGAATATGCCGCATGAAATTCTGTAAAGTTTCTATGGACATGGGAAGTATTATTAAAAATGAAAGTTATATATCAATACCTGTCTTAATAGGTAAATGTAACGATATCGCTGAAGCTAAATTATGTTTATAACCCTAAAAAAAATATATCCCGTCATGAATAAAATTCACCTACTTCAAAGGAAGAAGTTTTTAAAACCAAATTAAATATTTCAACGTTTTCTGTAATGTCTATTGTTAATTACATTAGTGCATTTTAATATTACAATTACACTATTCTAATTGAAAATGTTCTCAGAGTTATGATTTTAATGTAAATTATAGTGAGGTTCTAGTTTATTTAACTTTTTGTGTCTCAGTTGGTACAGAACGTCTTACAACAGTTAAAATACTGTCATATCTTTGTACGCCTAATATGTAAAGATATTTAAAAAAAATTAAGATTCGCTTTAAACTGTCAAACACCAAGCGGTCACCGGTGACCGTAACCTATTGTTCTATAATTGTGTCTATAATGACGGTACTCGACGAGTTAAATACAAGATGAGAAAAAACCTAGAACGAAAAGCATAAAAGGTCAGAACCATCGAATAAAATTATTATTTTACAACTTAGAGCCATTTTATTAAAGTATCCAACATAAGTTTTATGGTGAACATCAAAAACCGATTCTGTGCGAACTACAACTGAGTTAAAGTTAATGGCGATTATTAAAGTTAATCTTTAATCAATCGGTGTACCGCAGTACCGCTTAGAGTGCCGCGTTCTGCGCATATCAAATAAACCGTAACGCTTATGTTACAATACAGTAGCTATTGGACCGCATAAATAGGCTATTTTTATGAGCTATAATTAATAACTATGCAAGTACGTAATGAAAGCAAAAACTTACACGGTACCTTTGTAAAGGTAGTAATACTTTGCCGCGATTATAACTACTTTATTGTTCGCTCAGAATTTCAGGTGCCAGCGTTTTATGTTTCACACTACCTGTAGATTGTTTAGTTGGGAATGTATTTGAGCCTTCAAATGGCTTCGTTAAAAGCTGATCAGGCCTAAGTACGCTTATACAAACCCGAAAATCAATTATAGGTATAGATGTAATAAAAATGTCGACGTTCTAAGATTTAGTATAACGGTTGTGTCAGCAAAATTAAACGTCTATTTACTAAAAGCCCGATCATTACTGTTATAAAATAGTGGTTTTGTCAAAAAATAGTTATGGTTTCCTTAAACTTCAATCACTACCGCAGCTTGAAGATTTATTTGATCGCTCTCTCGGCGTGCACGCAACGTACTAATTTCAAATTTGAAAGAGTTCCCGTCGCTCGACCGAACTGGCCAGATAAAGACAGGTTTCTGTATCTCGATAAAAAAATAATTTAAAAAAGAACAAACACACGGGAAGTCTCTTCAATAATCTGGCGATGGTAAGTGCGGTTTTGACTTTAATGTGTTAATAAAATTGTTAGCGTTTTGTCGGCGAAACGAGGGCCGATGTTCGATGTAAAGCCGACAAGATGGCAACATGCGATGACGATTAAAAATTATTTAAATGTATATAAGTTCGCTGTATGAATTCGCTGGGGCATTGTTCTCACACTCACCTAAGTTTGCAGCCATCAGTTCCTGATCTTTGGGCTTCTTTTTTCGGGGTCGTCCTTTTTGTCGGGGAGGGGGCGCTGTGGAGCCGTTGAAGAACGGACCTTTAGGAACATCATTGTCCACGCGAGCGAACTCTGGGGAAGGGTACGGGGGGTAGTGAGGTCCAGGTGCGGGGCCCGTAGCGTAGGGCACTGGACACATCTGTGGAGGGCCTGGTACGGCCATGTGTGCGCCGTAGTCCGGCATGGTCTCATAGTGCAGCCTGTAGAACAAAAGTTTCCTTAAACTCTGGTAAGACTCGAAGCGGGAAAATTTCGCTGAAACATTCCCTAGGTTCGTTAGAGAGCTTTGAAACCGAATACAGCGGTTTAATTCATTGAACATTTGTAGCATTCTGTTAGAAACTGGGTCGTGAACGGCATGTAAGTTTATTGTTACGTACTTTGAGTTGCTTCAGACGTACACACTGAGAAAGCTTAGAAATTTCTAATAACTATATACAAATTTCTGATAACACAACTACAATGCTCGCGTTTTGATCTTTTAAGTTGCTTATAACTGTTGCCTAGTTAGTTTAGTTTTGACGTTCTTAAGTTAATATTATAAACTTCAGTCAATTTCTGTCTTCATTCACATAACATCACGTCATCTTTTATCTCCGAAGGGGTAGGCAGAGGCGCACATTACGGCACTTATTGCCACTTTTCACTATTTATGTTATGAGTCCCATGTAATAGGGGATGAGCCTATTGCCATATACCTGGCACTTTTCCAGACTCCGGCATACTACTGAGAATTTATTTGAAAATCACAGTAATACTATGCCTGACCTGGGAATCAAACCCGAGACCCCCTTGAGTCTTCATTCATTTTGAGTTAAATTTCGTATTTCACAAGCACCAACCTGCAGTAAACTGCTGAATCTCTAATGCCGAAGGTGTCTCCTTTGTTCAGAGGGGTGCTGCATAGAGCACATGAGAAGCAGTGCACGTGGAACACCAGGTCCCGCGCACGCATCACTAGTTCCGAAGCAGAGATTGGGGTATTGCAGCGAGCACATCGCTTTGAGCCGTATAACCTGCAAAAGAAAAACATCATTAATATAATAATACAGCGCTTTATAAAGCATCATTATAAAAAGGATTAAATTTAAGCCGTTTTAGAACTAAATTCATAATTTAGATTACGTTATTACCTTAATTTTATAAAACAAAACTATTGTCTAACTAAACCGCAGTTACCATCATCGACAACTGAACTTGTATAATGTAAAACTCATAAAATATTCTGCAATATATCATTTTATATTTAACGAACAAAGTTAATACTTTATTTTTCAATAAAAATATCTAGATTGAATAGATTAAAGTTATGATATTATTTCTCATCCAACACCTGACAAATGAACATACATTTAGCTAGTTAATTGATTTTTTGTGTGTACACTCAAGGAAAAAACAATTATAACGTGCTTGCATTAAGTTGCAATTTAGAATCATGATAACATAAATGTCTAGGGAGGGAAAAAATCTACACGGTATAATGATTTTGTAGGAGAGTTCAAGAAGACTCGTGTCAAATCGGTAGCCGGCAATTAATTTACGTTATCATCAGTGTACTAATTAAATATAAAAGTTTTATAGCTTTTCGCCACGAACGCTCATTGTCTGGCCAGGGCCACTGGCTCACGCCGCCAACATAAATTCATCAGGAGCTATGCTAAATTATAATTATATTAAATAACCTTCGTCTTTCTTTGAAATTTAGTCATTGATTAGTACCTATTTTATATTTTTAAACTGTAGATACATAAACTGATACATAAATAGAGTAAAAGTGGGTGTTGTGTGTACAGCACCGAATTTTACTCTATTTACAGATCAATAATGATTGTTTAAAAGCATTCGTAAAAAGATTCAAATATATATGTTTTAGACTAAAAATATTTTTACTTTAACAGTACAATACAGCGTTATGAAGAAATTCGAAACCATAACTAGGTATCTACGTATGTGGATCAACCTTAAAAATAATAGCCGAAGCGAGGGTGAACCGAATTTGCACGAGAAAGTTACCCCAAAACGTTCGGGGCCTCAAATGAAGCCGCGAGGCAAATGTGCATAGGTATACCTACAAACAATTCTCAAATGCGAAACGAAATCGAAATCGAGAACCGACGGTTATCCTGAACCTCTCATCAAGTTGTGGAACGGTTCGAGTAACATCGGGAATGCTTTTCTCTAACGGGGAACTGCTATGTACTTACAATGTATAAAAAAGATTAAACTTCCATTTTGTTACTAGTCTCTATTCATTAGGGAAACGCAAAACGCAAAACTAACATAAGTACTTATGTAGAAACGTCGTGGTACGGGTGACAATTTAAAAAAAAGACTCAGTTTGAATATTTTTAATATAACCGCTAATAGTGAGGTTCAGTACCGCATTACTTACCTATGTAACGTGAAAAAAAACGTTTAGTAAAAAAAATACAAGCAATTAATTCGATATTATTACTGTGGTTATACGTGACGTAGTATAACAAAACAGGATAATAATGCATTTGAGTGCATACAGTCGGTCAAGTTATTAAAATCAAACATTAATATTATACATGTTTTAATGAAGAAAGCATCGAAATATATTTGAACCGACGCGGGATCCGAATTGCGGTCAACGTGTAACGAATACTGAAGTTAATATCAGACCGTTTACATAATAATATTATTTGCATGGAAACAGCAAACAGGTAAAATCCGGAATTAAACACAGTTTGAGTGTGGCAAATCCAATATTTCGGTAAACCGCAGACGCGAAAAATTTTGCTTACTGTCTCTCGAAATTCAATTTAGACAAATGCTATGTCGAAACATTCTAACCGAATACCAGATTTTAGTTTCCATGTTTTGTGTTAAATATGAGTATTTTAATATCGGGAAGTTATATAATAAAAATAGTTTAATGTTGGCCTGAAAGTTGTGCACGTTATGGAAATTAAGTGTTGTATTAAAACTTTTAATGATAGTACAAAATATAAAGATCTTAAACTTGTTTTGATCGGCAAATAAAGCGTATGATAAAACCCTATTCAACACGATATTATTTTCTAAAGTACAAACAAAATGGTCGGAAGATTTTTTCAATTCTTATCTTATTTCGGTGTCCAAAAATAAATGTCATTCGGTGTTGACCGGCCGAGGCCTTTGGTTTTAAAATAATAATTAAATGCATCCGCCGGTTTTGAGATCCGAGATAGGCGATTCCCTACAGAGTGAGACATCCCAGTGTGGTCCGTTTCCTATCTAGATCGAACTTTTAGCCGCTTTAAATAAGACGTTAAGGAAATACCACATGAACGTTAGGATTTTTTAGATATTTAACTGACTATCGCGAGAAATCTCTTAAATTACTTTTTTTAATTACAAATTTTACCTTTTGATGTCAATAGTAAGACATTTTTTAAGATCCTCATCAGTTTCTTGCGCCTTACAAATTGCTTCGGCGGTGCAAGATAGTGTTATCTCACTTTCTTATTTACGTAAGTAAGTTTGTGTGTTTTATAAGGTATAATAGAATTCAAAATTGTATGTGGAGTTTATGAATGGATTCACACTACACTATGAAATTGTTTAGTGGCACAAAGTTTAATATTCCTCACGGTCAAATAATTTGCCTTCTTGTGACCAAAAACCATGTGGACCACACAAAGTACAGCACCCGATCTCCCAGCCACTACCTACTATCGACCGACCGTTTCGTCCAGACATAATTTCCGCAACCCTCTATTAAGGTTTCACGTACCTTCAAATTTTGCTGTCTCTTAGTAACAGCACTTTTATAGACGAATTCTGTCTGGGACAGGATTACGTTTTTAGAAGAAATGAAATGTCATGTATCAATGCCAATATATGTCTTATTTGTATAGCAGTAAGTACGATTTATTATAAGTGTGATTGAAGAACTGGGTTTCGTGTTTTCCGGCTCCCTGTAGAAATGAGTGTGATATGTATCTCCTACTGTCTACATGATCCCAATATTGTGATAAATAAGATTTCAGAGTTAGTATTGCTTTTGGTTTCATAAAGTCTCGACTCTCGGCTATCGACTCAATTATTTTATACAAACTCAATTAAAAAAAAAGTTGCAAATAAAAAATGAAGTGAACATTTCCTGTTAAGTAAAAGTATGAAGCCCGATAACTTTAATTCTTAATTCAAAACATTCTTTCGCAAAAATTCCTTGAAGCTACGTCTAAACAGAATGTGGGTATGCTATGATAGCGGGAAGGAATCTAACTGTTTTTCCAAATATAAATTGTTACGGTTAACATTATTTTTTTTTAAATGGAAGGTCGTCTACGTCGCTTGGTACGTTCAAAACTCATTTCAAAACTGCAGTGGTGATGACGGAACATCACTAAATGAATATTTCAGAAGTGCCAATATTTTTTGTGAGTGGTTTATTCAAAAAAGAAAATGATTTGATATTTTTATTCATTTTTGCCAATTATTTCGCGACAAGTCGCTAACACTTTATTCATACACTAAACTAACTAGAAACCAAATTATTTAACTACCACCACGTATTCAACTTCAAATATTAAAAAAAACTCAATGCATAACTCATAAAGTATTCTCAAAAAGAAATAGGAAACTAGACATAAAATGAAAGAAAAAGAACTTAAAATGAAAGACTTAATGTGGAAAGTGCAAAATACTCATGTAAGGTGTAAAGACGCAATCGCAATAATTGCACGTAGGTAAACAAAATCCTCTCATATGGGAAAAACGATAAAGACTGGATCTTTTGAAGCAACCATGCATTACCTAAATCAAGAAGGTACTGGTACTTGAGTAAATATCATTAATTATTATCGACCACAATCAATACATTGCACGGCAAAGGGCTTCATACACTTCCTCCAAATCTGGCTTTTAAACCACACTATTTTTGTAAAAGGTTAGACAATTTTGCAACGTCTGTAAATAGCCTGCAGCAAATCAATCAAACGTACAAATATTTGCTCCAAGCTGAAACGGGAACCTCTGCATCACTACATTGTAGACTTTCTTTTTTCCAATTCATCAAAGTCCAGCTTTATATTTGATAATAAAAAATCGATGCATATGTCAGAGACATGCGCAATTCATGTGAGAGCCATGCTTCGGCGCGAATGGGTCGGCTCTATCAGAGAGACACCACGGCATCACGGAAAAATGGCGTAAATCATCATCACGCTATCCTCCTCTCCCCACAAAAGGATAATCAAAAATACAAACCTCCATGACTTTCATCTCCAAAAACGGTAATGCAATTGTAACTCGTCTGGTGTCACGAATTGTTGGTCCATGGGTGGCGCTGATTGCTTACCATCGAGTGATTTGCCTGCTTGTTGCCGTATTCCATAAAAAAGAAGATATTTACCGCGTTCACTTGCACCATACCCCACTCAGCAGTGAAATGAAGTTATCGAGGGTTCGTGGGTGTTAGTCACGAGCGATGGTATCTCGGCCACACAGGTCCCCGTACTTCGGACCTCGGACCTCGAGTCCCGGGTTGCAAAACCATTGTTTTACGTTTACCCAACAATATTTTCATAGCAAATAAAACAAAAATCCGTACACAAAATTAACTAACAACAGCATTCATAAAACTTCGAATACGTTTGAACCTGCAACTCGAAACTTGAAGCTCTATCCAATATTTTTTTTTCATAAATTCTGTAGTTCCATAGTATTTTTTTTTGGGACAAGCCCGCCACAGCCTCCCTATACCGCTGCAACTCCTGTAAGCCAGGATCTACAGTAGATACAACCATGAAAACACCGGAACATTGAAGTCCGGCGCGTCCCAGGGACATGAGTAACAGTCTTGGTTACCGCAACGAAGTGAATCAGAAGATATTATAAGAGAAGAAGAAGAAAAAACTATAGTTTCCACTTCCCTCGGTCAATTACTGCAGGAGACAGAATGAATTAAGCCTAAAGGCAAGTTCCATAGTATATGAAATAAAATATGAACTTAATGAAAATTATCAGCCGCATGATATTTTATTTTCATATTGAACATAATACGGGA